CAAGACGCCCCGCAGTGAGAAGGTGCGGTCGTGCCAACAACAGCTTCACATCGACTTCGCCGCTCCATCTCCCTGAACTCTCTTCAGCGCTTTTCAAGGCTCTGAATATCTTCTTCCGGCAATGCTATCTCGAAGCATCACGAATACGGCATGTGGATCAGATGCACGACGGTCCTAGCCGGAGATACCGTTGCCATGTAGGCCGACGTCACCCACTATGTTCCCGAACAAGCTACCGTCGCGGGTCTGCAGATGTTGCCAACATGGTGTATGGCAGATCTAAAGCGACTCGCCCATCCTTAGTCGCTGTCGGTTCAACTCCGCTAACACCGTACGCTTACCTTTGATGGATTCTGACGTAATGATGCTGGCCGCACTTGACGTCTTCTATTCTCAAGGTATATGAAGGGCCACTGCAACAGTCGGGAGGCTTACTGCAACGTTTTCATATCATTCAAAGTCCCCACTTCTTAAAGTCTCACCTTATCATATCACTATGGCACCCCGCGTTTTCCTCATCACCGGCTGCTCCACTGGCTTTGGCGAGGAGTTCGTCAAAGTTGTTTTGCAAAAGGGTGATTATGTTGTCGCTACTGCACGCAACTCTTCCAAGTTATCTTTTGAGGGTGCCAACGATTCGAACAGTCTGCTCGTGGATCTCGACGTGACCAAGAAAGAATCCATCGACAACGCATTCGATGCGGCTATCAAGAAGTTCAAGAAAATCGACGTGGTTTGCAACAATGCCGGATACGGTCTGAACGGGCCCTTTGAGACCTTGTCGGAAAAGCAAATCAGGCAACAGATGGAGATCAACTTCTTTGGCCTGATTGATGTAACAAGAAAGGCTATGGAGACCATGCGAGATTTGAAGTCTGGAGGTGTCATCCAACAGGTGACGTCAATCGGCGGTCAGATTGGTGAGTTTGAATCTAATCTATTCTTGTGTTCACTGCTGATGCTCACTAGGTGTTCCTAACTTTTCCATCTACTGTGCCAGCAAATGGGCTGTTGAAGGATTCACGGAGGCCATTTCAAAAGAAGTGAAGCCTGAGTGGGGAATCAAGTTCACTTGCATTGAGCCCGGTGGTTTCCGAACCGACTGGTCAGGCCGCAGTATGGACTTCGGCGAGATATCGAACCCAGCCTACGCACACGTCGATCCCAAGAAGCAAGCTGAAGGGCGCCATGGCTCTCAAGCAGGAGGTACGTCATGGTCAAATTGTTACATACCGGACGACCGCTAACAAACTCCTCATAGACCCGGCTAAGGCTGCCAAGGTGTTCTACGACTTGGCCGCCATGGACGACCCGCCTATCCGATGCGTAGTTGGAACCGACGCGTACAGCCTTCTCAACAAGAAGCTTGAAACTTACAACGAGAGTGTCAAGAAGTTTGAAACATGGAGTAACAGCACCGACGTCGAAGGCTACAAGGCGCCCAACTAGGTGTCGGCAAGAAGCAGGTAAAATAAGAACGCAAAACCGGAAGAGGCAGGTAGACAAATGTGTGGTTCTCGCGCAGAGCCTTTGCACCACCAATACCGAATGACATGATTCGTTCCAACACTACACTGCATTTAAATCTTCATGTCGATACAAGTCCTGCTCACTGACACTGCAGTAAGGATGGCTACCTTCCACTAATACTGATACTCTGAGCACTACAACATGTAAAGGTAGGAGTATACCTCGTTATACTTACTTCGGAATACAAAATTTAAAGGATTGGCTGCAAGAGTATGTATCGTTACACGGCGACGATGTTGTGGCTGTTGCCACGTTGCGCCCGACCAGAGGGTTTGACTCAAATCCGGTACGTGTCAATACGGCCACATAGCATACTAGTGACGATCAGTGGTGTCATTGTCGAGAACTAAGGACCTCCATGTGGCAATACCAGCATCGCGGAGCAAATGAAACATTTGGCGTTCGTTCAGCTGCAATGGCGGCCACTGGATCTGGTGGAGCAACGTTCCACTCAAGCGTCGGTACCAAATAAGGCAACGAATCGAAACTAGTCCGCGAAGATCACATCCCCAGCGCACAAAGCATAGAGAGGGAACCGCCCCTGACATCACTGGTACTACTCAAGCGGTACATCGGCCAACAGTGTCGCAGAGATCGTGATAGTATCGGCACTTCACATATCCGAATACGTACACGACCTCCAAATGTTGCGTGCTTACAGACTATAGGTCCACGGTACCAGAACAAAGCACGCTCGACGATGTCACACGACTCTCTTCATGCACTCCATCGCGGACGGGGTACTGCTACCGGCCTAGGCTTTGCTTGCCACCACTCCCTCACCGCTGTATATACGAGGCCGAAGCTCGGGGGCTTGAAGAGAACATCTGACGCTTCTAGTTCAGGAAAATACGTCCCATGATGGAATTATGCGCTCTTCACACAATGAAAGCTGGTCGTGGGGGCTCGCACGAGAGTTCCGCCGACCAATCCCCACTCACATTATACAACCTTTACATGTACCCTGGTCACGAGAACCACACTTTTCGAAGCCAATCCCACCGCCGTTTACATCGTGAGCGTCAGAAACAGGCAGGTCCGTCAGCCCTCTATTGTGGTTGCGAACGAAGCTGCCTTCAACTCCAAGTGTCGCTTCGTGACCCCTGACGTACTTCACCCTTCTTGTATAAAATCTGCGATTGAGCATCTATTCCTTCAACACCCATTGAATTCAATACTTGTTACTACTACTCATCTTCGATCATGAGGCACTTTGGAAACACCATCCGGGACTCGGGACCGGCAAGGTTTACGACTGCACTGCTTACTGCGCTCCTGATCACCAGCGCTACCTTCATTCCATTCTTTACACAGGGCGCAGTCGCAAACCCAGTCCCTGTACTGCGTCCTCAGCCAAATCCCAATCCTAACCCTAATCCTCAGGACCCTCAAGCTGGCAGTCCTACAACTGATGGCTACTATCCCGACCCAGAGCCATGTCGCGGCAACTGCTCCTGGATTCATGACCCTAGTGTCATATATGAGAACGATAAGTACTGGCGTTTCTCGACTAGCGGCAACATTGCCATTGCTAGTGCGCCATCCCTGGGAGGACCATGGGAATATGAAGGCGCGTTGTTACACAACGGTACTAGTATCCAAGTCCATCCAGATCAAGACATCTGGGTAAGTTCATTCTCCCTCTACTGAATCTTAATCTGCCACGCATCAGCCTAACCAACACAACAGGCACCTTCAGTAATGAAGCGAGGCGATACCTTCTACTGCCACTACTCCGTCTCCAGGATCGGTCTCCAAAACTCCTCCATCGGCGTCGCAACATCGCAGTCCCTCGAGCCGGGTAGCTGGCAAGACCACGGCGACATCGGCCTCCCCCTATCCGACAAGTACAACCTCATCGACCCCTTTGTCTTCCAAGAGACGCCCAAAGACCCCATTTACTTCACCTTCGGCTCCTTCTGGGACGACATCTTCCAGGTCGAGCTTTTCCCGCACGACGACCTCATGGCTTTTGGCGGGTGGGCCGAGCAGAATAACCGCATCAATAATATGGTGCGGAATAGTACTTACGGGGCTACCGTCGCTGAGGGCGCTATAATGTGGAAAGAAGAGGACTTTTACTACATGTTCTACAGCGTGGGTATGTGTTGCAATACGCCAGAAACTCCAGGAGGTCTTGCTCCTGAGGGTCAGGTATACCACGTTGTTGTCTGTCGCTCGGAAGTTCCTACTGGGCCTTTCTATGATCAGGAAGGAAAGAGTTGTCTCGAGGAGAACGGTGGTACGACTATCCTTGCTAGCCACGGCGATATCTATGCACCTGGTGGACAGGGCGTTATGGTCAACCCTGAGAATGGGAGGACCGTGTTGTACTATCACTATGGTAAGTGAAAGACTGGTAACGATAAGTTGAGACCAAGCTAACGTTGATGCAGTTCGTCCGAGTGTCGGCTATGCAGCTGATCAGTTCTTTTTTGGATACAACTATCTTGACTGGGAAGACGGCTGGCCGGTCGTTGTTATTGCTTGATTGACTGCCATTCTGCCATTCTGCCACAACTAACGCCTATCCTCCTCCCATTCCCTGAGTTCTTGGAGCGCAGCGTCTTGGTAACGGTCTCTGGGATGGCCATCCCAGGATTCACGATTTACGACTAACGATCTTACAACTAAGACTTCACTAGAAGCAATGTTTGGTGGGTGTTGATGTAGGATGTGGTTTGCCGGAGGCTTTCGGCGAACTGATGAAGTTACTGTTGTATCATGGCCATGGATATAGTTCTGACTCTTTATCGTAAATACTAGTTTCTAGTATTATTGAGTCTCCAGCTTTCAGATAACGTGTCTTGCAGTGCCATGGGCAGCTCATGGGATCCATCTCACGATGTCTTGAAGATGCACTTTAACCCACTCGTTCCTCTTTGTCAAAGCTCCCAGATCATCAGACTTTTCTCTCAGCTCATGCGCTGTGTACTAGTCTTTTCTGCCGCGCGGACGCGCTTAGTTTCGGAAGTGGTGGGATGAAGCAGCCGGAGGGCCGATTACGCGGGGTAAAAATAACTCCCATGGTCATGATGTCGCGCATGCTGAATCTGATCAATTAGTTTTACCGAGGAGACAAGCTTCTTGTAGTGCTATAGTAGTGGCATCATGAACCCGGTGCTGAATCGCTTTCGGGTTGTTATTCCCAGCCCCCGGGCTGATTGTAGCCTCAGCCGCGATGGACGCTTGAGGGAGGTGCATGATGGCTATTGCTCGGAAAGGCTAGCCGCCAATGACGTCACCAATCGGTCCCTCCGGCGGCTGAGATCGCGCCATGCCTATTTACCTGCCAAGTGCAGCACAGTGAATACAGGTTATTCCATCCCTGTGGGTCAGTACAAGACCAGTGCACGCGACCGATCGCCTCTCCGTCGCCTACGCCTCACTTCTCAGCCTCCCTCTCCAGCCTCACCATCTCTACCATCGCTACCCCGCGCGATTGCTGATCGCTGCGCACGGTCGCCAACATGCCCTCCCAAGAGAAAGGCCTCAAGAAGCTCTTCCATCCCTTCAACCATCGCGCTTCTGAGAAGATTGAGGAGATTGAGCAAAAGCTCGAGCACACCAAGTTACGAGGTGCGCATATTAAGGCTGTGCACATCAAGCATAAGATCGGCAAGTTCACCAACCTCTTCAATGCCAACCATCGCCACGACGAGGAGCATGAGAAGGAGACGGACGCCAAGAGGAGCAAGATCGCGGAGAACCACCGCTTTCATAGCTTTGCGCCAGAGCGCGACAACAACTTGGTGAAGTGGTATGTCGATGGTAGGGATTACTTCTGGGCCGTTGCCGAGGCATTGGAGCAAGCCAAAGAGACCATCTACATTGCGGACTGGTGGCTCAGCCCTGAGCTCTTCCTGAAGCGACCACCCTACTATAACCAGCAATTTCGACTGGACCAAGTACTCAAGCGCCGTGCAGCGGCTGGTGTGAAAATCTATGTTTCCGTGTACAAGGAGGTGAGGTCATCAATCTGCGTCGAATAAACAGCCGCTTATACTTACTCAGGTTTCTGCGGCTCTCACATGCAACAGCCAGCACACCAAGAAGGCACTCATGGGCCTGTTTGAAGAAGGCGAGCCTGGGTATGGAAACATCAAGGTGATGAGACATCCTGACCACAATGTCTTCGAGAATGCTTCGGATATGACGTTCTACTGGGCGCATCACGAAAAGTTCATCGTCATCGACTATGCCATGGCCTTCATCGGTGGACTTGACTTGTGTTACGGCCGATGGGATGACAAGCAGCACCCGCTTGCCGATGCCCACCCTTCTGGTGTTCAAAACCAAATCTTCCCGGGTCAGGACTACAACAATAACCGTATCATGGACTTTGAGAGCGTTGATGATTGGAAATCGAACAAGCTGAACAAGCTCGAATTCGGTCGCATGCCATGGCACGATGTCGCAATGGGTGTCATTGGCCCAGCGGTTTACGACATCGCTGAGCATTTCGTCTTGCGATGGAACTTCGTGAAGCGAGAAAAGTACAAGCGCGACGAGAGATACGACTGGCTCACCATGGAAGGACGTGAAGGCGCCGACGAAGATCTGATCGGAGTGCAACGGCCCAAGTTTCCTGTTGGCCAATATGTACATCATCCCCTCACGCAGCTGAACAGCAAGAACCTCGACAACCGTGGAACTGTACATGCGCAATTAGTCAGAAGTAGCGGCGACTGGAGTATGGGCATTGATCCTCATGAGCAGAGTATCCAGAACGCATACTGCGAGGTCATCCGTAACGCGCAGCACTACGTCTACATTGAGAACCAATTTTTCATCACGGCAACGGGTAAACACGACCAGAGCCCTGTCCACAACCAGATCGGAGCTGCAATGGTTGACGCCATCGTTTCGGCAGCTAAAGAGCAGCGCAACTTCAAAATTGTCATTGTCATTCCAGCAATCCCGGGATTCGCAGGAGATCTTCGAGATCAGGCCGCTGCTGGAACACGAGCTATCATGGACTATCAATTCAAGAGTATCTGCCGAGGAGAAGAAAGCATCTACGGACAGATTAAAAAGGCCGGTGTCGATCCAGAAAAGTACATTTTCTTCTTCAATCTTCGTTCATACGACCGCATCAATGTCACTCCCACGCTTAAGGAGCGCGAGAAGAAGTCCGGGAAATCGTACATGGATCTAGAAGCAGCTGAGATTGACGAGCTGGAAGCACCGCCAGAAGAGGGAGGAGACGAGGCACGACGCAAAGCCGCTGAGATGAGGAAAGCCTACATGGATGAGGAGGAAGATGTGGGCAAAGGCGACCAGGGTGGTGTTATTGACCCAGACTCGATTGCCGACGACGCGATGCTTACAGAAAAGAAGCCCAGGGAGGAAGCCTGGGAAGGCGAAGAAGAAGAGGAGAAAGAGCACTTTTTTCAAGAGGAGCTTTACATCCACGCCAAAATCTGCATCGTCGACGACAAAACCGTAATCTGCGGATCCTCCAACATCAACGATCGCTCCCAGTTGGGCTTCCACGACTCCGAACTCTCCATCGTCCTACAAGACACCGCAGAGATCGACACCGAAATGGACGGCAAGCCCTACAAAGCCGCGAAACTCGCCCACGAACTCCGCAGCAGCTTATGGCGCGAACATCTCGGACTCCTCCCACCCCAAGCTCTCAACGCCGCCGACGACCCCAACGCGCAGCCCCCCGGCGAAAACTCACCAAACGACCCCATGCCCGGCCCCGAAGCAGACTTTGTCTCTGACCCTCTGTCACCCAAACTCTGGGACGAATGGACCGAGCGCGCGACTACCAACACCGAGGTGTTTAGGTCGCTGTTCCACGCTGACCCCGACGACAATATCCTCACGTTCGAGGACTACGACAAGTTTACGCCGAACCCGTCTGGGGACAAGGAACACAAGCAGGGTCATCTGTATGACATGGTTAGGCCTGTTAAAGAGATTAGGGCGGAGTTGGACCGTGTCAAGGGGCACTTGGTGTGGATGCAGTTGAAGTTTTTGGAGAATGCGGATATGGCTGAGAGGGGGCTGCAGGTTAACTCTTTTACTGAGAGTGTGTATACTTGAGGTGGATTACATGGTGGTAGGAAGAGGTGGCTGGGTGCTAGCGCTGGGCGATTGGACGAGTCGCATCGGTGTATCGTTCTGGTCGGTTGTCTTTTCTTTATGATTCCCTATTACGTATCCTCGACGTCTTTATGACATGAATGAATGCATCTTCTTCTTATGACGATCTGGCTGTGTTCCTTTTGCCATGCGAAACGTGCGATGACACCGAAACAGGCAAAACTCTGTTGAAGACCACATAGGTACTGACAAGCTTGTAGTAGCCAACTCACATTACCGCGGAGGTCGTCAACTCAACACACAAGAACACAGAAGCAGATGACGAGTACATGAAGTCCCAAAGGCCCAGTGTAATATTCCAATTGTACAAGCAAACATCTTTTGTAGTCCCCAACTGACTTCTTCAACCACCCAACGAAATCTCTTCTACCCTCTATCGCCTCCTCACCTCCACACCACCCTCCCCTTCATCCTCCATCTCCTCATCGTCGTCATCAGCATCATCCTCTTCCCACTCCAAAGCCTCCGCAAAGCCCCTCGTCTCACTCCCATCAGACACAAACAGACCCGTACCCGCCGAAGTAGGCACAGCCGACGAAGGTGCAGCAGAAGGAGACGCAATAAATGTCATCGCATCCCCGTCTTCACTGTATGACCTTTCCTCTTCTTGTCCAAGCTCAGACTCGACGACGGACTGCTGTGTACCATCGTCCTCCCACGCCAACGCCGCCTCAAAATTCTGTGCTTCTGTCTCGTCGCGCACGAACAGGCCGCCTGATCCTGGTGACGTGGGGGCGATGGACATTTGCTCGTCTTCGATCTGATTGTCTGGTGGTTGTTCGAACTCTGAATTGGAGTAGAGTGGGGATTGGAGGGTGGGGTCTTCTTCCTCATCCGGTGGTTGCTCAAACTCAGAACCTGGGTATAGCGGTGACTGAAGGGTGAGGTCTTCGTACTCATTATCTGGCCTCTCTTCGAATTCTGGGATTGGGTATAGTGGTGATTGGAGGGTGAGATCTTCTTGCTCGTCATCTGTTTGGCCTTCATATCGTGGTTCTGGTGAAGGCCGGATGACCGGGTACTGTAGGTCTGCGTACTCATCGTACGTTGGTGCGGGGAGGGGTGTGTTCTGGGCGTCGGAGTCGGATATGGGATCGTCGGCGAGTTCCATGTTGTAGTCTTCACTTTGCGGCGGCGGCGGCGGAGGAAGGGGCGCGGTGGGCTGATGGGTACCCGGATGCTGATTGGAGTCTATATCCATGCTAGATTCATAGCTTGACGATGACGATGCGGACGATATCTCAATTGGCTGGCCGCTTGAACTGCCTGTAGTCGGCAGACGAGACGTAGATCTACCAGCCGGTTGGCGAACAGCTGGTCGAGGAGGCAACATCGGGGCAACAGGTGCACGAACGGGTACTGCTGGAGCTGATGTCGCAGCCGCAGGTCTAGCTGGAGCTGCGTCTGAACTTGGAAGAGGGGCCCTGTACTGTTGAGCATGTGTTCGTGGTCGAGGTGGAGCAGGCTGTAAGGGGATGAAGGTGAAAGGTGAGGAGAAGTACCTTGAGTTTGGGTATCGATCAGCCGGTATCGGTGGACCAATGGTGTATACATTGGTTGCGTTGGTGTTTGGTCGCTGAGAAGCGGGTCGACGGACGGCTGGAACGGGTTGAGCTGGTGGTGGTACAGGGCGAGGTGCTGGACGCTGAGCGGATTGTGGTGCGCGTCCACGTCCGCGTCCACGTGCAAGTCCACGTCGAGGTCCACCGCCAGGACGTATTGCTGGACGACGTGTAGGCGCAGGAGCAGATGGAGTTGGGGTATCGTTCGCTGGAGGGTACTCGTATACTCCTTGCTCGTTCATTGGCGGCAGCGGCGGCATAGTCCAAGGTACCACCGGCGAACCAGGCTCAGGCGTAGGGCTGGCTGGTGAAGGTGAAGGTTGTCTCCTCTTGTAGTAACCTCGAGGTTCATGTCGAGCCCTCGTGACGAAATGGGCAAAGAATAGTCTCCTGGCGCCGACGAAATAGATACCGTCGTTCCAATCGTCCTTCGACAGCAACTCATCCTCTATACAGTGTGTCTCTCGAGAGAAATGGAAGTGCAGTCTGAAGTAGCGTTCATCGCGGTTAAAGGCGTTGAACGTGTACTCGATGAGGTCGTCCCAGTCGCTCAAGTCGGACGCGCGTCGGCGGTATAAGTCAGGACCAATTGCAAAGTCTCTGACTTCGATCAAGGTAGTGATGATGGTCGACATCTCGAATCGCGGTAGTGAGTATTGGGGTAGGAACTTGAAAATGGCCGAGTATATATAAGAAGCTGAGTGACGAAGGAGATATCGCGGGCAGTTAGAGTTTCTTTAAGAGATATTTATTGTGCGCGTGCGTGTAGCGACTGCTAGTGGAAGTCACACGGACGCAAAGGCAACGACAAACGGGAAAGAGAGGGGGTAGAATGACATCAGAAGCTCGTGACTTGATTGTGTACCTAGCAATGAAGGACTTTTGTATATACCCAGCGCCCAAATGCGGTCAAGCGGCTTTCGCTCAGTGTTGAGCACCGCCTTCGGGAACGTCTGTAGAATCTGAAAAAGAGTCTGTTTCGTCATCGTTCGCGGCAGTCCCGATAGCTTGCTTGGTCTCTGCTGCTCTCCTCCTTTTCATCATGCCCCCCTCTTGATCACCTGACCCATGCACCACAGACTTCTCGTTTGTCTCCCTCTTCGTCCTGATCATTGCTCTGATCGCGTCAGAGAGCTTCCACAGCGGCAACGTTACGAGCGACTTCGAGAGATTTACGTCCTTTAATGGAATCTGTACCTCACCGTTCCTGTCCGTATGTCCAGTGTGTCGTGCGGGAACATACGCGATGACGTTGTTCTTCTTATTCAGCATTGCACGGACAGCAGGACGTTTGTGTGGTGTAAGACACCAGTGTTCCTTCGCATGGCCGATGACGACTCCTTCTTTGCGCAGGCCTGGATGCTTCGTATCATCGATGATGATGAATGACACCTCAGATGCGGTAGGTTCAGGGACGATCGGTAGTGAAGGACTCACGGGAGAGAGACCAGAATCTGGAGGCGTATTCGTGTTGTGAGGTGCATTTCGCTCTTCGATCATAGTTTTTATGGCTCGCGTTCTCTCTTCGCCGAAGGTAAACTTGACTAGCTCGGGTGTATATTCCACGTGCGTCATTGCGATCTGTATATCTCCTTTGATTGCGCTCCGTTTTGAGTATTTCGCGGGAATGTAAGCGACTACAGCGCCGACTTTGCTGATCACGGCGCGAACGACAGGGCGAACATTAGGATCGAGACAGCTTTGTGGGAGGGCGCGCCCAATCACGACGCCAGTGTCGAGATGATGACTGCTGCTCGAGTCATCTACGGTCACCACCTCATTGGCAGCAACCGGTAACGCGAGTGTGCTCTTGAGTGTATAGGTTGACTTGAGGATCGGCTCTGTATTGAAAGGGTTGTGTGGCAGTCCCTTTGGAAAGGGCTTAGACGAATCTTTCTTCGATTCTCCAAGGTAGTCTTCGATGTATTCCGTGAACTTTCTCTGTGTCGTGTCAACCAAGTTCTCAATGAGCGCCTAATGATTTTACCTTCGTTCGAAGTCCCTGATCACCATATGTTCCCCGGTACCATAACTTGTCATCTTCCTCCGTCTCAAAAGGATTGTGTGCATCCATGCTAGATTCCAGTGGTGGTTCCACCTGTTCGAAGTGTGCATATAGCACCAGTCTGCCGTCCACTACGAATTCGGGATCAAAGTAGCCTCCAGCATCCCATTCGCTGGGGCTTATCCGGTCGTCGCAAGCATGACCGTCAAAATGAAGATGCGCGTTGTAGCGTTCCCATGGCTTGACGAAGATGTTGTGCACGTTCGCGAGGAGTTCCTGCGGGCTTTAGCATGTGATTGGTGTGTTATGGCTATGATCAAGTGAATAAGTCGAAGGCATATATGGGAGTGAGATGCGACGCATGCTGGAATAGTAGCTCAGTAGACGTACCCAGTAGTTGCGAGCTCGACGAGCTGCAACACGGTAGCTAGTATCTCGTCCGTTGAACTCGCGGACGAGTATCATGGGAAAAGCCTTCATTGTGATGTAGCGGGAGTAAAAGGGATGGAAGTGGACGGACAGAAGTTTGACAGTGTGAGGCTTGATGTAGCCGATCGTAATCTGGTGGCGACATCGCAGTGAGAGAAACGTGGCATAGAAGCGTGGCACGTGTCGGCTTGAGGCGCAAAGAAGATGGGGTGAGATGCGCGGTTTTCATTGCTGGAAATCTGATAATGGGTATCTTAAGAAATATTCAACGCGCTTTAAAACAACGTGCTGTCATCCAGGATTAGGTGTGCCTAGATATCAGCCATGCCGGGATTGCCATTGAGGTTCCGGTTATTCTCCTTCCCTCTGCCTTTGGTCTTCTTGTTGTTGCCATCGGTGACAGCAGTGCTGCTGATGGCTCTCTTCCTGCGCCCCGCTTTAGCGCTTGCGATGGAGGACGGCGTCTCTTCTCTCGATGCGCTGGTCATATCTTCGGGCAGAAACTTCCCGCTGCCAGCAGCCTCTCGCACTAACGATGTATAGAGCTCTTGTACGGCGAGTTCGCTCGCACTTGCGTCTTGTGATGCGCCGCCTTCATCGGAGAAGGACGTGTCCGCTAGCGGATCGGGTGCGACGAGTTTAAGGCGCTCGGTGCCGAGGTGGAAGCTGTTGCAGGTTATTCGGGATATCTGGACTTTGGGGTGGGATATGTCGAGGGCGAGGTGCTGTTGAAGATACGCGGCCAGGGCAGCTGTAAAAGGTTTGTCATGGGTGTCCTTGAGCAGTCTGCCCCTGTCGACGAAACCAGAGATGTCGCCGCCTGCGACTGTGATCTCTACGTGTTTGAGAATAGTTGTGGTATTGGGGAATGCCAATTGAATATGGAGCTGTCTTATGATGTCTTGTATGGACTGGGTCGAGTACCTCGCTGCGAGGTGCTTGAAGTAGGTCTCGAGACTCGAAGTGATGAAGGGCGAGGGCAGCTTCAAGGGCGCAACGTGGGCATCGAAGGTCGTTCGGAGGTAGTTGAGGAAGATATCGCGTATTGGGCCTGGCATCTTCACGAGTAGTAGGGGCAGTGACGTGAAGCCCTTTTGCGAGGAAGTGACGCCCGGGTCGCGCAGCAGGAGCGCATTGTACGACTGCTTCTCGTACTCGAGGCTCACTTCCAGCCCACGCGCCCGCTCTGGAGTGAGCTGGGAGACGGAGGACAGCTGTGAGGCATCGGGGTCCATCGACTGGCGATGTCGGTCAATCCAGGCATCCTCGTCGCCAATCAGCTCCCAGGTGCACTCGTCCAGGGAGCCCAGTTTCGCGGTGTCGTCGGCAGCGGCAAAGTCGACCTGCACGCCACGCACGCTGTCGCCTTTGAGCTGTTCCTTGAGGCGCTTGGCATGGGTGCGGAGTGAGGCGTCGAGTAGGAGGGGCGTGTCGTGGCAGTGGAGCGGGGACAGGCGGTACAGGTTGTACGTGCGGTTGTAGAGTGGGTACGGGGGGATTTGGGCCATGCTGATGTCAGCTATCTTATCGCGCAGAGGGTCGACGCGTGCGGGTGCTCAGAGGCGGGCGTGCAGGCGTCCATGGGGGTTGTGTTGGAAGACGCTGGCGGCCTCGAGACGCGTCGGCGGAGACGGCAGGAGCGAGTGCGAGCGGACATGACGCAGCGTGTCGTTGGACGATTTGCGTGGTCCGTGCCTTCCGCAACACTTTCTTTAGTGACCCCGCTAAAACAGGGCCTGTCGAGAAGGTTCTCTTTTCTTCGACGTATTGCCAGCAAGTCATCACGCAGCGGTCACTTGAAATTTGCGAACCCGTGTCTGTCTATCTTTTACACGACCCCCCAAACACGACTTTCACCGCACACACTCCCTCCACGTTTGCCCACACATACCCCGCCATCAGAGATAAACATGTCTGTAGTAGGTGTTGATTTGGGAACGCTCAACAGCGTCATTGCTGTTGCGCGGAATCGCGGTGTCGATGTGGTGAGTAGCCCCGGTCGCATACGGCATACCAAAATACTGACGCCAGTAGATTGCAAATGAGGTTTCCAACCGCGCGACACCGTAAGTAGACCCCCAGCGCACGCAGCGCACACAACGAGCATCCACTCACAATTTCCCAGATCGCTAGTAGGCTTCGGTCCCAAGAGCAGATACGTCGGCGAGACGGCCAAGAACCAGGAAATCTCCAACCTCAAGAACACCGTCTCCTCCTTCGTCCGCCTCGCCGGCCGCAACCTCACAGACCCCGATGTCCAGGTCGAGCAAGACTTCATATCCGCGCCGCTCATCGACATGGGCGGCCAGGTCGGCGCCGAGGTGACATATCTGGGCAAGAAGGAGCAGTTCACTGCCACCCAGATCACCGCCATGTTCCTCACCAAGATGCGCGCCACAGCATCTGCCGAACTCAAACTCCCCGTCAACGACGTCGTCCTCAGCTGCCCCGTCTGGTACACCGATGCCCAGCGCCGCGCCATCCTCGACGCCGCCGACATCGCCGGCCTCAAGTGCCTGAGGCTCATCAACGACAACACCGCAGTCGCCCTCGGCTGGGGAATCACAAAGCTGGACCTCCCAGCGCCCGAGGAGAAGCCACGGAGAGTCGTCTTCGTCAACATCGGCCACAGCAACTACACCGCTACCGTCGTTGAGTTCAAGAAGGGCGAGCTCGCCGTCAAGTCGAGCGCCTGGGACCGCCACTACGGTGGACGCTACATCGACAAGGCCCTTGTCGAGCACTTCGCCAAGGAGTTCAAGGAGAAGTACAAGATCGACGTCATGGAGAACGGCAAGGCCCGCCTCCGTCTGTCCGCCGGTGTCGAGAAGCTCAAGAAGGTCCTTTCCGCAAACAACCAGGCCCCCATCAACGTCGAGTCCATCATGAACGACGTCGACGTCCGCGGCATGCTCAAGCGCGAGGAGCTTGAGGAGCTGATCAAGCCCCTCATCGACCGTGCTACCGCCCCTATTGAGCAGGCTCTCGCTGAGGCCAAGCTCACCACTGCCGACATCGACGCCATCGAGATGGTTGGTGGCTGCACACGTGTACCCGTCCTCAAGGCCAAGATCCAGGACTACTTCGGCAAGCCGCTCTCCTTCACCCTCAACCAGGACGAGGCTGTCGCTCGTGGCTGCGCTTTCTGCTGCGCCATCCTCTCTCCAGTATTCCGTGTCCGTGACTTCTCCGTCCACGACATGGTCAACTACCCCGTTGAATTCACATGGGAGAAGTCAGAGGACATTCCGGATGAGGACACCAACCTCACTGTCTTCAACAAGGGCAACGTCATGCCATCAACCAAGATCCTCACATTCTACCGGAAACACCCATTCGACCTCGAGGCCAGGTACGCCAAGCCCGAGCAACTACCAGGAAAGATGAACCCCTGGATCGGCCGCTTCTCCGTCAAGGGCGTGAAGGAGGACCCCAAGGGCGACTTCATGATTTGCAAGCTCAAGGCACGTCTTAACGTGCACGGTGTGCTCAACGTCGAGTCTGGATACTACGTCGAGGAAACCGAAGTCGAGGAGCCAATTCCCGAGTCTCCATCAGCAGAGAAGAAAGAGGGTGATGTACGTTCCGAATTTCCTTCTGATCCTAGTAACGGGCGGCAAAGCCCGCCCGAGCCTGCCGCGAAACGACACAAGCCTGACGCTGATCCTGTACTTGCGCGTCCTACTTCTGCGCACGCAACAAATGAGCTAACAAATTATGCGCAGGCAATGGACGTTGACAAGGACGCCGCCAAGGAGCCACCGAAGATGCGCAAGGTTAAGAAGCAGCAGCGTAAGGGTGACCTGCCACTATCCGCAGGCACTGCTTCGCTTGATGAAGAGAGCAAGCAGACCCTGGCCGAGAAGGAGAACTCCATGATCATGGAGGACAAGCTCGTCCAAGACACTGAGAACGAGAAGAACAACCTCGAGAGCTTCATCTACGAGCTCAAGGACAAGATTCTCGACGTTTACGCTGAATTCGCCAGCGATGAAGAGAAGGCCAAGCTCAACACCAAGCTCGAGACCATCGAGGTGAGTCCCATCAATTGTACGCTATATGAGCTGCGCTGACAACTATACAGGAATGGTTATACGACGAGGGTGACGACGCGTCGAAGGCACAGTACGTCTCCAAGAAGGAGGACATCCGCTCCATCGCCGGTCCCATCATCCAGCGCTACAACGACAAGATCGAGGGCGAGCGACAAGCAGCCATGGAGAAGCACCAAAAGGAGCACGCCGCCAAGCAAGCCGAGCTTGAGCGCGCAAAGCGGGAAGCCGAGTCCAAGAAGCAGGCTGAGGCGCCGCCGGCGGAAGAGCCAAAAGACGCGGAGATGACGGACGCCGAGGCACAAAAGCCAGACGGCGTTGAGGAGGCTTCTTAAGCAGAGAGGCATCTGCGAAGGCGTAACGGCAAAGTGAAAAGCATTTGGTCGGCGTGGTATACTAAAGGGCTACGTTTGGCGCCGAGGGGAAAGTTTTCTCTGTTCGACTTTTCTTCCTGTTTTCTCTGTGATGACGATCATGGTAATGCGATGCTTATGATAGACTAGTCCATAGACGAACGAACACGATATCCAGTTTTGGAACTACAATGATATGTTCCGCTGCTTCCATCATTCTGGTCTGCGTGGTTGTGCTTTCCTTCTCTGACTGGACTCCGTCATTAAAGTGGGGCGGCGGAATCCGTCGCGCTGCCTCTTCGCGCAACATTCTGGACACATCCCTACTCTCCACATCTACCTTGCCAATTCAGCGATGGAACAAGGTGAGCGCGCTCGATTAGACTGCGTTGTCTCTATCCTGAGAGAAAGTCCTTCCCATAACACTGCGATTGAGAACCCCCCACACGGATATCGATGCAGCTTCAACAACAAATGGCACAAACGCAGACTCCCTGCGACTCAGCGCGATACCAAGGAAGATTCCGTTCACAACTAGTGTTGCCAGCAAGCAGAACCAAATCATTACCCTGACAGGATATGGCATGCACTCGAAGACGGTGTTCATCATATTGGCGATAGCAGACACCAGGCCTTCGACCATTTTGAGTAGGGCCTCTGGAAGCCAGCGGAAAAATCGAGCAGGCATTCGCATGCAACCATTATCGTGCTGCCACGTTGGAGTTCGGCTGTTCAGGTTCCAACCGACGAGCGGTTTCAAGTCGTTGCCCTCTACATTTTCGGGGCGGACCGCTGAGACGTCGTGGGAGGATAGATCGGATGACGAGCGCTGAGATGCAGAGTCTTGCGGAGATTTGTGTGCAGGTTTCGATCTACCAATTATCAGCCTGCTATAAACATAAGCTGCGCAATGGTCAACCGACTGGCTGTTCTCAGCCTGTGAACGCTCAGTATCCATCGATGCGTCGTGGAGCTTCGAATTATTTCAACTTTACTTAACAGTTCCGGGACACTAATAACGCTACAGTTTCGCAGCCTCGCCGAACGACTTTTCTAACGAATCTTCTGGTGATGGTCGAAGTGCGTGCAATTCGCACATTGGGTGCCTTCTTCACGGACGATTTTGGAATTCCCCTCACGACCGTATTGCCAAAAGACGAAGAGAGCTTTCGGCTCAGTTCGGATAGCTGACGATACAAGGCTGTCTGCAAGGCATTGTCACTGCCCCAAAACACTCCGCATGGGTAAGCGCTCAGCCATGGGGTCCTCTGCGGTTCCTCCAATAGGATGACAGCGACTGTAAGCCCTGTGGGGCTGTGCTGTCGCTCAGCTCCCTAGCATCATCACTCTTCATCAGCTCGCATCCGCAGGAAGTTTACGCTCGCTTTGGGATCGAGTATGGCCGAGGCATTCGCTATTATCGGGCTGGTATCCAACATCTTATCGTTTATCGACTTCGGCATCAAACTCGCTTCTGAGACTCGAAATGTGCGCGACTCCCTTCACGGTACAACTGCAGAAGTGCGAGAGCTGGAGATCATCGTGGAAGACGTCGAAAGATATCACGAGAAAGTACAGAAGTTGCAATCTCTTGGTCAAGAGCTTTCTGCACACGAAAAGAGCATCATGGGAATGGTAAAATACTGCCGTAATATAGCCGAAGATTTGCACAAGATCATCGAACGGCTACATGTGCGCCAAGGTCGCTCGAAGACCCTCGAAAGTAGTCGCGTCCTTTTCCAAGGTTTCCGGAAACAACGCGACATCGATGCGCTCCGAGCAAGGCTTGATGCGCTAGATAAGCGTATTCGGGTGAATGTTGAACACATTATCCGGAGGTATGTCAATGGAGATTATGGTGGCGCTCTGAGCTGCATACACCAACCTCAATCAAGGAAGGATTGGGACACCCTAGAGCCTGAATCCACGCCATATCTTCTAATCTCTTTGTTTCATCCTATGTAGTCTGCAGATCTGTTCAAAGGCTTCCTTGTATAAGGAGAACGAATTATTAGCCAGGGCGCATGCTGACTTGTCTTTTAGTGATCATCACTCTTCGCTATCAGCCAAACTAGACGCCTTGAAGACGGCTCAAGATGCCTTAGCAATTAGCTACGACGCCAAGCTGGATCAAATTCGAGATGAAATACTCACGCTCGTAGCACAAACTCGCACGAGCGAAGGCGCCACGCAGGTCGCGCAATTGACGGGCCTGAAGACGAAGTTTGATGCACTTGGCGAAGAGCACACGGCATGCACCAAGCAAACCGCTACTATACGAAGTCTCTACTTCTCAGTCCTGCGCAGGCGGTGGAGTCAAATCCCGAAAGCTGATAAAGCGTCAAACACATGGATCTTTGACACAGCATTGACTCCCTTCACAGTCTGGTTAGAGAGTACCGACGAACATGATGGACTTTTCTGCATTACAGGCCGGGTAAAGATGATCTCTCTAGTGTTTTAGCTTCCACTAACATGGCCGATCTAGGCAGGCAGCGGCAAATCAACTCTGATGAAGTTTGTGACTGAAAATCCTCGCACTTTCGAATACCTTGAAGGTTGGGCAGGCACGACCAAACTCTGCACGGCGAGCTACTACTTCTGGAATCAAGGCTACGAAATGCAAAAGAGCCAAGTAGGACTTTTACAATCGTTGCTGTACCAGATATTCAAATCAGTGCCCAGACTCATCGAGATAGTGTGCCCAAACCGTCTAGAGCACGAAGAGTGGGACGTGGAAGAACTGAAAGCTACTTTTGCGCGCATCGCTACCCAGAAAGATTTGGAAGTCAAGTTCTGCTTCTTCATCGACGGTTTAGACGAGTACAACGGGGCTGAGGAAGACGTTGTCAGCGCTCTTGAATTCCTGTCTATATCGAAAGACATCAAGATCTGTGCCTCGACACGGCCTCGCTCGGTGTTCGAAAGGTTTTTCAACAACACATCTCGCACGTTCGACATTAAGAGCTTTACCAAAGAAGACATGGGACGCCATGTTCAGCGTCTCCTCGGGGAGAATGAGAACTTCCAACGCCTGGCGAATGCCGATACCACGTGCGTATCAATAATGAAGGTGATTGCAAACCTTGCGCATGGCGTATGGTTATGGGTCTTCCTCATCACTCGTGACCTTGTACACGCTGTCGATCGATATGAAGGTGTGGACACGCTGTGGAATATCGTCAATCTCTTCCCGGCAGATCTAGAAGCGTACTTTGAGCGCATGGTCAAGGCTGTTAAGCCTCAGTATCTTGAAGAGATGTCACAAATCTTCTTGATCACGGTCGATGAGCTGCAACCGCTACCGTTATACGCTTTCTCTCTGCTGGAATACCAACGCAAGAACCCCGCCTATGCCACCAGCCTCCCCATACGGCCCATTCGCGAAGAAGATTTGAAAAGCGAGTATCCCAAGTGGAAGTCGCTCATTCGAAACAGATGTAGCGATCTTCTCGTTGTTAATGATGAAGAGTAAGTGAAGCTTCTGGCCATCTACTCAAATGCTAGACGACTGGAAAACGATTCTCAAGATGTGGGCATTTCTAGCCGCTGGACGAAGATACCTGCAGTACTTCGGGCTCTTCTCAATTAAACGAACGCCTATTTATGATTTTCTAACTGTGTCACCCCAGACATCCCTGCTTCCCGGGTCCTACGGTCGACTTCCTCCACCGGACCGTTGCCGAATTCTTGCAGGACAACTACTACCACCAACTACGGGCCAATCTGAAAACCGAGTTTAGCTCCAAGTCTACGTTGTGCAAAATATGCCTTGTCATGCTTAAATCACTACCGGATATTAACTACGATATTCCAGAGTCAATTAACGAAGTTATGGGCTTAACGGACGAGCTGCTGTATTACGCCTACGAAACCGAGAGAACCGACCCAAGCCCTACCTCTTCCCTAGTAGAGGTTCTCGATGAGGTGGATCGCGTCAATACTCACCACGCACGTGGTACAAGAAACCACTGGATGCATGACCGTGATGCAGTCGTTGATCGCGGGTATCATGTGTATCGTGAAGGAGACAACTACAACTTTCTTGCGCCGGCTGTACAAGCCCACCTCGTCAAGTACGTTCGTGCGAAGTTAGACGCTAACCCAAAACATGCGCGAAAGTGCGGGCGACCACTACTGGACTACGCGCTCCGTCCACGCCGAATCACAAACACCACCATGGAATACCACGCCAAGCGCGACGATCCAAGTGTGAATGTGGATAGTAAGTCTTGACTGCGCAAAATGCGTACTAGACAGACACTAATTTCGCACCATCACCTATGCAGTGGTTCGGCTACTCCTCGAACGTGGGGCAGGTCCAAATCAGCTTGTCCATCTGAACGACAGCAAGTCAGTTTGGCATCTCTTTTTATTTTCAATGGACGTGACTGTCTCACCGTCGTCACCTTTTCAAGAGCCTTCAGCAGCTCTCACGAACGCTTGGTACCAGAGCTGCGAATTACTCATTCAGCACGGTGCCCGGAGGATCTCCTACGAAGTTGAGAGCGGGTTGGAAACAACGGATCATGGCGTCTTCAATCAGGTCTTTGGGCTTGCGAGAGCAAATGCCCTAGTGGCGCTTATCGATGAAAAGGAGCGAGAGGGACAACAGGGAAAGGGGTCGTGTATGATTATGTAGTACCCCAAAGAGCACATCGGGATTGCGACGAAAGCTGTCAAGAGTTCAAAACAACGTACACGGCTATCAAGCGTTCCCAGGTGTTCAGGTCCTTCTCCTCCACCAGCGGGGCTGAGCAATCAGCAATCAGCTGTACCGAGCGGACCAATGAGAGTGACGTGAAGTATGCAGGGGTCCGGCCTACCTTCCCCGAAGTTTAGCGAGCTTAGGGCTGACAGACTGTCCGTTCGTCCTCCAAACTGTCTCGCAACATTCCCTGCGTCTTCTTTGAAACATGCTATTCGAGCCGCTAAGAATCTTCGCAAAACGAGTTGGAGCGACGTCTTCATGTTCGTCACTCTAGCTAGACATCGCTCTCGCTATGCAGCCAGAAGCCAGCACACCGAATCAACACGTGACTGCCAAAGCTGTGTGCCAACCTGGAAGAGGTGTTGTACGGAGGAAGTCTAAATCAGGGTGCGGAACCTGCAAGTAAGTGGACTCCCTTGTCCAATGATACGGTACCCGACCGATTGGCTGTTTGTTTTGCAGCGATCTGGGCAGAGATCTGTTCCTATGGACGCTTACCGACATCGACTAGAGCGCGAAGAGTCAAGTGCGACGAAACCAAGCCTGTATGCTCTCGCTGTCGCTCCACTGGTCGGACATGCGAGGGCTACGGACTGTGGGGTGGCGGAGGGAACACCTACGTTGAAAGATACGGCCTGGTGTCAACATCGATCCAGAAACCTCCAACCAAAGTCCTGGGTGTCGAGGAACTCAGGTATCTACAGCTATACAGGATCCGCATCGTTCATACAACTTCCGGCTGGTTTGCTTCGAAGTTCTGGAACTCGATCGTGCTACCAGCAGCGTCGTCAGAACCGGCGGTTCTTCATGCTGCTGTTGCGCTGAGCGCTGCGCACAGATGCAGTTTCGATTCGGCACAAGCTCCGGATGAGAGGGAAAAGTTCATGCTTCAACAATATGGCAAAGCAATCCAGTCGCTACAGCCGCTGTTGCGATGTGGAGACAAAGCCTCGGTCACTGTCATATTGGTCACCTGTCAACTGTTCACCTTGCTTGAATACCTCCGCGGGCAATACCAATTGGCGGAATCACACTTACGGAACGGTCTAAAGGTCCTGATGAACATGACCACAAAGAAAGATCGCTCGCACGATGGCGTCCTTGTAATCAAGCCGGCATCATATGAAAAGAGCATCGACCAAGGCATCGTGCGCAGCTTCGCCACCCTACATATGCAAAATAATCTGTTCGGTTCCGGTCTGGAAGATCTCGATATATTTCTTCAGCCGATAGAAAACAACATACCATACCCTACTTTTACAACTATCGAGGAGGCGAAGGACGCTCTTGATGTGCTATTGCACGGCATTGTTCTCATAGCACAACAATATCGAAAGATGGGGCCAGGCACTGAAGACGAGATTGCTGCGGTTACAGCAGGACAAGAAGATATCATGACCTCTCTTGCGATGTGGTACGATGCGTATCTGAGTACACTTCCCTCGGTCGACAGACTAGCCCTAGCTGCCGGGAGGAAGCCAGATGAACTGTGGGCGTTCGGCGGGAAGACACCGCCAGCAAAGCTTCCGACGGGCCGCGAGCCATCAGTCCTCAAATTGCTACTCATGTATCATGCCATGGCGGGCATAATGTGCGGCTGTCTGCAAGTACAGTCTGAGCAGCACTACGAAGCGTATACGCAAACGTTTCTCACGATACTTGTGCATGCCATACACATCTTCGAGGAGTACACCTTGGCAAAATCTATACCCGATAACGTCAACCTCCACGATTCGATTGGCGAGTACGGCTTCATCGCGCCTTTATATTACACGGCTATCAAGTGTCGATACCATCGCATCCGCCTCCATGCTATCCGCCTCCTGCGGGTGATCCCGCTGAAGGAAGGCACGTGGGATTCTTTCACGGCAGCGAACATCGCTGAAACGGTTATGGAGCTTGAAGAGCAAAATACTCACTTTGGGGATAGCGCTGGAGACGGCTTCTCTCTCTCAGAGATACCCAATTTGGAAGATTCATATAGCTGGTCTTTGATGCCGGAGCATAACATGTTCCAAGATGTGGAAGCAACGACAAGAGCAGACCTCACTAACGAAGTCGTCGTCACATGTAAAAGACGGCGACTAGACGGTAGCCCGGAAGTCTTTACGTTTCACGCCAATCCCAAACCTAGACACAACACCGAAAAAGAAAGACATTCTTATACTTGAAGAGGGCTAATGCAGCTAAAGTCATTCCATGCAAAACCAGAACCACCCAATTCAGCGCATCCACTTCCTCCTCCCTAGAGCTCCCACCCTTCCATCTCCCTCTGCGTCCAGGCCCACAACTTCTCTCCCAGCTTCGTATCCTTGGAAAGCTCACTCCCCATACCCAACACACCCACAGGTTCATAATACCGTCCGCTCAGCACACCGTCCGCAGTTGACGCCCAAACCCCATTCTTGATCCCTTCCTCCAGCGACCCACACCTCTTAGGCGCCACCTCCCGCGCCAGATACTTGATCTGCTCATCACCTCCTTCCGCGCCTTTATTGAAGATCTCCGTCAAAACATCACCAGGGTGGATCGCCACACTGATGATCTGCGCGTAGTGTAACGCGTATTGGCGCGCGTAGACCACGTTGGCGAGTTTGGATTGCGTGTATTTGTTCACGCCTGACAAATCAGTTTGGGAGGATTCCAACGTGTCGAACGCGATGCCGCCGGCTGGTAGAGCGGCGATATGAGCGTGGCCCCGCGAGCTGACGGAGATGACTCGGGGTGTTGATCCAGTTTCTTCCGCGGTGGAGAGCAGAAGCGGAGTGAGTAGTTTGAGGAGGAGGGCATGGCCGACGTGGTTCGTCCCGAATTGGAGCTCATGGCTCTGGGGTGTTGTGCCGGGGTGACCGCCCATCTATCGTCGCAGAAGGCGAAGATTAGTCATCGCATACATCAACACAGCTGCACACGGGAAACCAGACGGAAAGAGATGAGCGACGCTTCAGGGAGAAAAGAGTCAGGACATACGATCCCCGCATTCAGCATCAAAACATCCAATCGCCCTCCACAACCCTCCACCACTTCCCTCGCCGCTCTTGCTACTGAGTCGAAGTTAGCCAAATCGCATTCTGCGAAGCGAACATCGATGGCCGGTGCTGCAGCTTTTATCTCAGCGACGGCAGCATGGCCGCTTGCGACGTTACGGGCGGCGATCCAGAGTTGTGCTGGGTTTAGGGTGGCGAGGGAGAGGGCGGTGGCTTTTCCTATGCCGCTGTTTGCGCCGGTTATCAGGATGACTTTGGAGGAGAGGGATGGGGTAGGCGGCATTGTGGCGCGGATTTGAAGGGGGAACAGAGGGGGTCAAGGGGAAGAAGTGTAGGAAAGTAGGAGACGGAGTGCTGGGGCCAAATAGTTGGAAGGTGGATGTGGCGCGTGGGACATATGGTGTATTGCAATTCATTTATCTATTGCTCCTATCTTTGAGTTTCCGACTTATCCCTCTTTGTTCTCCAAAACAGTTCTTGTGCATTTCCATAATGCGTATGATTCGCTAAGGTTCTCCGTGATTCAGGCGTCCCGGGTGTGAGACTGCGGAGGGGCAAAGGCACCGAGACTCCGATGTAGCGGTACAACATCCTCCGGGAGCGACAATGAGCTTCCCATGATGCTTAATGAGGAATGAGTTCCAGCTGTTCTTGAATAAAGTGGCTTTGGCAGTTCTATCCACCATCCATCGAGATAGCATAGCTGAAGATCATGCCCTCCCACAGACATGTACCTGTCCCCTCCTCACCATCAACCCACCCTACACAACCTCCCATCCTGCGTAACAATCCCCTCCCTCTTCCCCCCATCCACATCCCTGATCTCCCACTCATCGCTCCCCACGCCTCCAAGCGCCCAAAACACACCTTCAGGATCATATTCCCTCTTCACCCTAGCCAACCTCTCATAATTACTCCCAAAGAACGCTTCCTTCCACTCCCAATCCTGCGCATCCCCCTCATTAATATAACTCCCACTCCCAGGCGTAACATCCCGCCAACCCTGCATATACCCCTGCAGTCTCTGATGTCTTTCTGTCAGCGCCTCGTGCGACAAGATGGGTGCTTTGCCGTCCCAGTGCGCGTTGGGTTCGTAGGCTTGTGCGTGGAGGACTGTGGTGCGGAATGCGGGATTGACGCTGTTGTTTGGATTTCCGGAGACGGAGAGCGTGGGCGCGTAGTTCATGCCGTGGAAGGTTAGGGAGCCGTTTTCCACGACGTGGCGGATGGCGAGGTGGGAGGTTTCTAGTGTGGAGGGGGTGGAGAAGGTGGTGCGGGGGAAGAAGCGGGATGCTATGAGCGTGTGGCCTGTTGTTTCGCCTATTACTCTTTTGGAAAAAGGCGATGCTTCGTTTGTGGAGTCGTCTTCATACGAGAAAGATGGCGTGAGAGAGCGTTTGAGTGTCGGCATAGGTTGCTGGATACCCAAATCGTTGAGCTTTTGAAGCAACGGGCGGACAAATTGCCGATATTGGGTGGTAGTCTTGTTGGGAACCGAGATACTGACAGTAAAGGTAAGACCTGTGCTACTACTGCTTGGGTAGATGAAGCTGTAGCCCAAGCCGCCTGCGTCACAGATGGCGATTGAAAACTCCCAGTACGCGCGCATGCCGGCCCAGAAGGTTTCCGCAGAGATGGGAGGCGCACTTGATCCGCGGTCTGGTGTCGTTGAGAAACGTACACTGCCTGACGTAATCGAAGTGGTCGCGAACGCTTTGACGACAACGGATGTGATGATGCCGAATGTGCCTGTTCATTGGTCAGTGACAGTCGGGTTCCCCTTTTGCTGGGAATGATTACCTCCGCCTCCTCCTCTGAAAGCCCAGAACAGGTCTGCATTTTCCCCTTCATGTGCTTCGACTACCCTTCCATCAGCTGTAACAGCAGTGATGGCGAGCACTTGGTCTGCCGCCAGACCATAGTAGCTGGTATAGGCACTATGTCCACCACCCTGGAGAAAACCGCCTGCAATACCTACGGTTGAACCGCCTGCAACAATTATGACTATATTCTTCTGCCGCATTAGTGTAGATCCCTCAGAAGCCTGGGTGCCCGCGGCATAAGTAACAGCCTTTCCGGTATAAGATCCAGTGGGTGAGGTGTAGTTGGGGTCATACGTCATGCCTTTGAGGTTGTGTGTCCAAACGCTAAGGGAGTAACCACCAATGGACTTTCCGTTGAAGTCATGGCCCGAGTTCTTGATTACGAGTCGGATATTGTGGTTCCTGGCGAAGTTGACTGCTAGTTGGATGTGTCTTAACGTAGTGGCTCTGACGACGTACTCTGGCCAACCGCCTTGAGAGCAATTTGAGTTTGGTTGTGAGGTTGGTGTGCATGCGTTCCCGGATGCCCATTGGGACATGATACTAGTCGGATCATCGGTACTGTCGTAGTTAGAATGACACAAAGGGTGTCTCCTTACGAGTGGGCTCACTGTAGGTTCATGCCCGCCCAGTTACTCTTGTACTGTTCGCACTTCGCCGCATTGTAGCTTACCCCAGCATAGCAGACGGTAGCAAGCGGCTTCGGCTTCAGTAACACACCACCGAGCGTATCGTTGAAAGAGGTCCAGACATCCTCGCCCGGCCACTCAGCGTCGCCCGGGATGATCTTGCAATCAGCAGGCGCCGCAGCTTGTGATGCACTACCAAAGCGCACTGCGTCATTGCGAGCTGCATCCTCGTTAGTGAGCTGTTCGCGCTCCCAATCAAAATTGAGGGCAATTGCTGCCGCTGAGAAGAGGTAAAAGACGAGAGTAGTATAGAGCATCTTGGTGAGGTCGTGAGTGACAATGTATTGAGGGAAGGACGTAAAGTCGTTGCAGGCAGGCGCGAACCAACTCAATATAGGAAACCACCGCCATCACGACGATGTACAGATAACGTTATCGCTCTCACTCGCTGTGAAGCCAGCCTGTTTGCTCCCCACACACCCTTCCAATGCCTCGTCTGTGGGGCCATACGAGCATGTGGTCTTCGCAGGTGTGGGATGACTGAGCTGTGATGTTCACCTATTGTCCTGCATATACGTGCCGGCTATATAGCTTACCACCGTCCCGGTTCGCAGAAAGATTTCCAGGCGAGAATCCGGGTCTAGATTTACCATTAGTCCGGGCGTGCAGGGTGATCAACTACGCAACAACAGACGCAAAACGATTCGAAGAAGGGAGATATCTTTTCATACAAGGGGTTATCATGCAATACGACAGTTGGACAAATGATCATGGGGGATAGAAAACGCGCCATCCGCTGTACATAAGATCGTCTGTCCCTGAGATCCAATCTCATCTAGCCCAATAGTAAAGTTACACAGTCGTCCCAAATGCACCGAAAATAGAATCAGATTATAGCATAAGCTCGAGAGGGCTCTCAATGGCCTTCTTGAGCTCGCGCATGAACTCGCCACCGACGGCACCGTCGACAACCTTGTGGTCGAAGCTGCCGGTGATGACAATCTGGTCGTCCCACTCAACGCTCGCTGTGCCATCCTCAGCCTGGCCTGGTACTGCGACCTTCCTTGTTGTGCCGATTGCGACGATGCAAGCTTGTGGGGGGTTGATGACGGCGGTGAATCGCTCAACAGCGGGGTTCATTCCCATGTTGGAGATGGTGATGGTTCCGCCCTGGTATTCCTCGGGCTTGAGCTTGCCGTCGCGTGCGCGCTTGCCAAGGTCCTTGATCTGAGATGAGATGGATTGGAGGCCGAGTCCGTTGACGTTCTTGACAATGGGGGTCATGAGACCGACGGGGGTAGAGACAGCGACGGAGACGTCGACAGTGTTGTGCTGGCGGATAATGACCTTACCGCCGTCCTCGCGCCAGGAGGAGTTGGCAGCGGGGACCTTGCGGGCGGCAACAGCGAGAGCCTTGACAAGCAAGTCGTTGACCGAGAGCTTGTACTCGCCGTTAGCTGAGGCGTTGAGAGCTTCGCGGAGCTTGAGGAGCTTGGAGACGGAGATGTTGGAGGCGACGAAGTAGTGGGGGTTCTGTTGCATGCTCTCGCGGAGACGGGTAGCAATGACCTTGCGCATGCTGGTAGCCTCGACGTCCTCGTAGGCGGCAGCGGAGGCGCCAGCAGCGGGGGCAGCACCGGCAGCGGGCTTGTACTTCTCAATGTCCTCCTTGGTGACCTGGCCGCCCTTTCCAGTGCCCTTGATGGAGCCGATCGGGACGCCCTTCTCGAGCGCGAGCTTCTTCGCGGCGGGGGAGACGGCGGGCTGGCGCTGGAGAGCGGTCTCTAGGCGGTCGCCGGTGGACTCAGACTCGATGGCGGCGGGCGCAGACTCCTCCTTGGCGGGGGGAGCGGTCTTGGAGCCAGTGTTCGGGGGCTCGCTGGCTTCGGCGGCGTTGCCCTCCTTGGAGGGAGTGTCGGCCTTCTTGTCACCACCGGCGTCCTCGATGGAGAAGCTCTCGAACGCGGAGACGTCCTCGCCCTCCTCGACCATAACAGCGATGGGCTGCGGAAGTCAGCATGGTATCCTCGAACGCTTGTGTACCTCGACTTACGCTTCCAACAGCGACGTCCTTCTCGCCAGCGTCGCGGAGGATCTTGGCGATGGTGCCCTCCTCCTGGAACTCAAAGTCCATCTGTGCCTTGTCCGTCTCGATCTCGACGAGGACGTCACCGGGCGCTATTGAGTCGCCGACCTTCTTCTGCCATGCGCCAATGTTTCCGGCGGTCATGGTTGGGGAGAGGGCGGGCATGCTGATAACGCTGTGCGAGGGGTAGGCTGCGGGCTGCGTTAGCAATGCGATGGCCAGCGGAGTATCTCGTCGCGAGGGACGCGGTGGGAGTGCTCACACTTGGAGGCATAGTAGCGTGCGAGCGCGGACAGGGCTGGTGTGCGTCTGTATACGGCGTGTCAGCTATGCTCGTCGGAGGATTGTGGGCAAGGCCAGGCAAGAAGGAGCGAAGCTAACGTACGCGGAGCATCTCGAGGTGGGCAGGGCGCCGCGCAGGGCAATTGACCCCCGCGAGCTCAATTGGCTCCCAGCCCGGGACAGCAGAGTTGTGGTTGCGGGCATTGTGTTGGGATGCCGGGCGCTGAGATTTTACTCCAAGCGACGTGAAATGGGGGAAGACGGGCTTGTCGGGCGAGGGCGACAGGCAGACAGAGGTGAGCGAGCTGGAGGCTCAGGCGCTTAGCGGTCAGGGCTGGAGGAGATGGAAGACTGTTCAACGAAAAGTTTAGTGCAGCTGGTTGGAGACCCGGCGACTAGCGTTCTCTCCCGATGAGGGTCTATGCTGGATGCGACATTTCCCGGCAGGACGCAAAGTGTGGCG